GCATTTTTGCCTCTATCGAAAATGCAGCCGCCGCAGCCGAGATGGTCCCGCGACCTGCGGGTCAGCACCTTAGCCACCGCGGCGGGGCTGTTGGGGAGAAATATAACGCTTCAATAACTACTTCTCACATTCACAACAGAAAACAGTAGATGAGACGTTTGGTCGCCCTTGTTCAGAACGAAGGAATGCATTTATTACAATGCATTGTTAAGAGCAATGCAATATAGCAACGTGCTTGCGTATACCTAAGACGGTGAATTTATATTTATTTATTTATTTATACAAGTACCTCACGGGTTCCACGAGGGAACATTGCGTGAGGGGGGGGTACATTTTGATTTTCAAAGAGCGATGAAAATATATACATATGCAAAAGTCTGGCTGCGTAAAAATAGAAAAGAACGAAAGAAGCAGCAAACAATAACATTATATAATTCGGAACGATAATACGCAAGTATACAATACAAAATTGTGAAATATTTTTCTATAAAAGCCAAAAAGCACTTGGCTGCGCAAAAAAGATACAGATGAGAGAAATAGCAAACAATAACGTTATACAATTCCAAACGATACAACATAACTATATAATACAAGAAGCGTTACAGTGTTAGAGGCGACCGCGTTAAGAATCAGAAACTAGCAGGAGTACAATAGGTAAGGCGCCCACAACTAGAGTTCAAGAGGCAGTTTTTCAAGCAAGCCTCTAAAGATCTCGGTTTCTTTCACGTTTGCTATATTTTCAGGAAGATTGTTCCAGAGTACAATGGCACGTGGTAATGAAGATGAATTATAGGCGTTAGTGTGCCCGTATAGACGCTGAAAACTGAGGTTATGCTGCAAACGACGGGAATATCGATGAGGTTTGAGAAGTGGCAAGAAAAAACTGTGCTTGCTGTTGATGATTCTGTGCAACAGACATAAAAGAGAAATGTTTCTGCGGGAGGCGAGAGAGGAAAGAGAGAGCGACTGCTTGATTTTAGTTACACTAGAATGCCTGCTGTAGTTACCGGTGATAAAGCGAGCAGCACGGTTTTGAACCGATTCCAGGCTTCGGGATAGATAATCTTGGTCAGGTGACCATATAGAAGAAGCGTATTCGAGTTTAGGGCGCACGAGTGTTTGGTAAGCGAGCTTGCGTGTGGTAGGAGGTGCATCACGAAGGTTTCGTTTTAGGTAACCAAGCGTTCGTGACGCGGCAGCAGTAATCTTGTTGATATGACTAGCCCAAGAAAGGTTCGATGCCAGATGGATGCCTAGATACTTATAAGATGAAGTAGGTCTTAGAGGGCTACCATCAAGGAAATACTGAAATGTTGAGAGTGAGCGCTTTCGAGTGAAGGTCATTTGATTGCACTTATCAACGTTTAATGACATTTGCCAATCTGAGCACCATGTGGTTACACGATCAAGGTCTTGCTGCAGAGCTGTATGATCTGATGGTGAAGTGATTTTGCGATAGATTATGCAGTCGTCCGCGAAGAGGCGAATTGATGACGTGATTTCTGAGGGAAGATCATTGATAAAAATTAAAAATAACAAAGGGCCAATAACGCTCCCCTGAGGGACACCAGATGTCACCTCCGAGAGAGGGGAAGACATGTTATCAATTACAGTACACTGTTTGCGAAAACACAGGAAGTTCCTAATCCAAGAGACTGTAAGTGAATCTAAGTTCAGAGATGATACTTTAGCTATTAAACGACAATGTGCAACGCGGTCAAATGCCTTAGAAAAGTCGATGAATATGCTGTCTGTTGGTAAATTTTCATCCATATTGTTAAAGATCTCATGCGTGAATTCGATAAGCTGTGTATCACAGGAAAGTCCTTTGCGGAAGCCGTGCTGATTTTTAAAAAAGTATTGGTTTTGTTCTAAGTGTGATGCAACATGTGAAGAAATAATGTGCTCAAGTAGCTTACATGGGATGCTCGTTAAGGATATGGGACGATAATTACTGGGCAGGCATTTGTCCCCGGATTTGAAGACCGGAATGACCTTAGCGATTTTCCAGTCATATGGAATCTCGCCAGTTTGTAACGATTGCTGAAAGATGTGACCGAGAATGGTACTAGACGGAACAACGGTATGCTTTAAGATTTTAGAGTTTATGCCGTCGACACCTGAACATGTGGACGTCTTGAGATTTGTAATTAGGGAAGAGATACCTGCAGGATTAATCTCTATAGGATCCATAAAACGATACTGAAATGTAGGTGGCAGAGGCATGTTAGTGTAATTTTCTTTCGTAAAAACTGAAGTGAAGTAATTATTAAACACCACTGGGCAAGATTCAGGAGAGACCGTAACACCGGCACTGTTCAAAATCGTGATACGAGTGTTAGAGCGTGTGGGGGCGATTGATTTCCAGAATTTCTTAGGGTCGTTTTTTAAAAGTGACTGTAGGTCATGTGAAAAGAACTTGTGTTTCGCCTGACGCACAGCATGACAATAAACCTTATCAGAATCACGATGCTTCGCCCATGCTACCGAAGATTGCAATAACTTTGCCTTACTGAAAAGACGCTTCTTTTTATTTCGAAGGGTGCGAAGTGTACGGGTAAACCATGGTTTAGATGTATTTACGCGAATTGTCAAGCGAGGGATATGTTCATGCACCAGGCTCAACAATTTTTCTTTATAAAGGCACCAATTTTCGTTGACTGAGCGGTTGAAGAAAGAGGCCATAAATGAGTGAGAGAAGTCAACTAAACTCTGATTTATGGATTGATAATCACCTCTTTTATAATCAAGTATTGGCCTTGGAGAGACATAAGGCTTGGATGCAGGTAAGCTAATAGATACCTGAATGAGACGGTGGTCACTGAGACCATCTAGATATAAGGTTGATGTAGCTTTTTCAGGAGCTGACGATAGAAGCAGGTCAAGAATGTTGTGTTGGCGCGTGGGTTGGTCAATTAATTGAACAAAAGAGAAGTCAAGGGTTAGATCGAGGAACTCTCTGGAATTGCGTGAGAGGGAAGTTAGATTGGACCAGTCAATTTCAGGGTAGTTGAAATCGCCCAAGAGGAAAACGTCAGCTTTAGGAAACTTAGAGCGCAAATTTGTCAAGTTGTCGTGCAAATCTGTAACAAAACTTTCCGAGCAATCTGGCGGCCTGTAACATACTCCGAAAATTGTTTTGGATGCATGTGATGAGGAGCACACCCAAACAATTTCCAACCGTGACGGAATGTCAATCACAAAAGATGTGATATGACTTTTTATGGCAATAAGTACCCCCCCACCAGCTCTACCTATCCTATCTTTTCTGAAAATATGGAAATCAGATGAGTCAAGCAAAACTTCACTATCTGAGATATTAGGGTTTAGCCAAGTTTCCGTAAGCAGCAAGATATCGCAGTTGCTGTTTTCAAGATAAGAGCACAACTCAGTACGCTTTGAAATAATACTGCGTATGTTGGTGTATGATAAAGTGAAGTTCTTGTACGGAATGGGATCAGCATGTGGCAGGAAATTGTTTGCAAGTGTGTGCGTAGCCGACCTACGCGCGAGCTATTGCGATGCAGGTGTTATTTTGTCATTGATTGCGTCGTACACGTAAGTAACGTTATCGATTCGCAGTTTATCGACTGAAAGCTTGAAAGGCACGTTTTTAGCTTTTCCAAATTCTAACAACTTTTTCCTAGCAAACCGTGTTTGCGGAGCAAAATCCTCACGGATGGCAAAGAGCGTGCCCTTCAGTTTGTGGCCCATTTCCATGATGCTGTGCTTGTCTTTAAAGAAAGCGAACTTTGTGATGATCGGTCTGCACTTATCAGAGTTGTATCTTCCAAGCCTGTGGGCTCTTTCAACTTGCGAGGATTGAAGTGTTATGCCAAGGTGCTCCGAACATAATTGAATAACTTTCTGTTCGGATGAGAACCAGGACTCAGACGGTTCGTCAGGTAGGCCAAAGAAAAGCAGGTTAGAACGTCGTAACCTGTTCTCGGCATCTTCACATCGCGATTCAATAGCCTTTATTTTTTCGCATATGTTGACGCCGGAAATTTGTGACAAGGAAGTCGATGAACCATCATTTTGCTTTAAAGCCATAACGTCCACCTCCACGGCATGCATCCGGGAGGATATCTGCTTTAGTTCGTCATCAACAGATGTCTGCCAAAGTTTCAGGGCGCGCAGATCATTCAGTATTTCTTCTTGTCTGGAATCTATCCTCTGGACAGTGGCCAGGACGGTAGTTAGAACTTCGTTTGTGTTAGGACCGGGATTAGATTCAACGTCACCGGATAGCAATAAAAACAGGCTATTGGTATACATGCGAAACCAATTCTTACAGCGTTCAAACATAAGGAACAGTTCACTTGGGCACGACACCATAAGAAAGCAACGATTGCTGCTGCGGGGACAGCAAGAGCGGTCTAAATAACTAACCTGTAAGAGCAGACAGGGTAAGCGCTCCATTCCGGAACCGGTGTCGTGCCCCAAGCAAGCCTCTTCGGGAAAATGCTTATATGCGGTGCCTCCCCCGAAGATAGTGGCGTTGATTATCGTAGTCGATGACCATGGTTGCTGGTGTAGGAACTGATGATTATCCACTCCTGGCGGTATCGTCGAATGCACTGGTATTTCCACGGAGCATGAAGTGACGCCGCACAGAAAGGCGGCATCAGGCAGCACGTCTGGAGTAGAAATCAGCAGGAAAGCCTGTAAGAGCAGACAGGGTAAGCGCTCCATTCCGGAACCGGTGTCGTGCCCCAAGCAAGCCTCTTCGGGAAAATGCTTATATGCGGTGCCTCCCCCGAAGATAGTGGCGTTGATTATCGTAGTCGATGACCATGGTTGCTGGTGTAGGAACTGATGATTATCCACTCCTGGCGGTATCGTCGAATGCACTGGTATTTCCACGGAGCCCGAAACCCGTGTTCGCATACTTATAGTGTTAGTTGTCTGGAGAAAGACTCTATGAGCAGCTTAGGAGGGACGATAATCATCTTCAGTTTCGTTCTCAAACCATTTCGTATGCACTCTGCTGCATGCAGGAGGGCCGATGGTGAGGCAGCGGCTGTGCAGGGGGGCCCTGCAGCTGCTCCTGCTGCACCTCTGCGTGATCGCCTCTGCGTCCCGCCGGAGAGGAGGTGAGTGGTGTCACCCAATAATTTTTACAGTGGGTCCTTTATTTTTCATCACCAGGAGAACAAGCTAACGAGAAGGTTGACTTGCTTCAACACTCCGAATGTTTGATGGGAATACTCGAATCATAGAGTTTCCTAAATATACACTAGACGGAACTCTGGCGCTATTGTCTATGGGAGCTGCAACGCACGGTCCTTTGGCAAGCATGAGAATGATTGGTAGTTGGTTGGTTGGTTGCTTAAAACTTTTATTTCGGTCCTGCGAAAACACAGGGGAAACCCCGCGCCACCTGGCTAATCTCACGTAGGGATCGCCAAGCTAATAGTCCACAGGCAGGGCAATCCGCACTTGGATATTGTTCAGAGTACAGGGCATGAAAAACCGCAGGGTTAGGATACGCACTGGCTTGCAATACTTAGTCCAAGAAAACTGCCTGCGCCCTTAATAAAGCAGGGTGTGGGAGGGGGAATACCCACAAGGATAAAAGTGTTTTGTTGTTTCCTTGAACGTGAGTAAGGGTTCCCCGCGAGGCGACGCGGTCAGCGAATCCTCGCGCGGGTGCGCCCTCATTAGGGTGACAGCCCTCAATCGACCCCATATGCGCGGAAAACTACACGGATTCGTCTAGTCTTTGTACTTTTGGCTCCGTGTGTGTTCGTGTGGCTTGAAGCTGTTTTCTCACGAAACAAAAATCAACAAATGTTCTGCGGTTGCGCTTCACCACCTTATTCTTTTAGGCATACCTTTTCAAACTGGTTCGCGAAGTTCAAAAGGATTCGTTCTTTCTTTCGAAACAAAACCGAAACACTGCAACAAACGAAGCCACAAATGCGATTCGCCACCCCCAAGACCAGGCAAATCCGTGTACTACCCCTCATTCCTATGGTCGCTGAACGATCGCAGCGCCAGACTCCTCTCTAGTTAATTTTAGGAAACTCGAATGAATTCACCGTCAATATTGCTGCCGCTCCGATGGCAAGTGAACTGGGAGGCAGTCTACATGAATGTAGCCACTGGTGTAGACAGTGAAAACTAAACACGTCATAGGCACGCCGCTGTTTCATTTAACGGTGGACCCGTCCTCTGACACTGTCGCGCGTTTACAGCAAATTGTGTTGCACATAATGAAGAATCAAGAAGAGAACTATACAGGGAGACGATAATTAGCATTGTACTTAAATGCGGTAAAGAAAAACAAAAAATAAAATTAACACGATGCAGAAACAATATTATCAGCAAGAGTACAATTCTGATTGAAAATATAAGGCAATAGCACCTTGCATTAAATAATTAACACGCATTGAGTGAATCCAGCTGAAAACGAGGTAACATGCGCAGACATCTCAACTATTGCTAGGCGTGGATTCATTTTCTCGTGTTCGCGAGGGAAAGTAACGGCACTAGCAGCGAAAGGTTGAAATAACAGTGCGCGCAATGAGTGCTGGCCACTTTTTTAGGATTGTAATTCTTGACGGTTGAATTATTCTAATGGCAAGGCTGTCTCAGCAAATTGAGTCGGTCCAGAAAACTATCGTCGTAAAGGGCTGCATGCCACATAAACTGTGTAAACCCCATGACCCATCATTGGTCGATTGAAATTGAAGAAGGCAAAACAACGCTGCGAGGTACCAGTGAACAACACAATATACCTGCACAATGTTTTTTTAGCATGATCGAAAATGGTGGCAAATTGACTGGGTACACTTGATATGAGTATTTTATTTATTTTATATAGAACATATAAAACTGAAAATGTAAATATATTTGTAAGAGAAAATATTTTTGTGAAATATAGCACCTCAATAACGCCTTATCGCAGTCACATATACTAACGTGATTTTCTCAACTCCTCTTTGTATTTCAGAAATTTTTTATCATAATTAAAACGATTTCCAAGAACGGAGAAGTTAATTTCCCGCTTCTTCTGGGCTTATCTTTTTCTGATGATTATTTGGTTGTCAGCTCGCTAGCATCTGACAGTCGCTGTATATTGGGCGTTTTCCTTCGTATCTAACAAGGGTAAAAATGACCATAATGTTTTAGCTTGTGTGGCAACACTGACCGTTCATTTGCTGGGCTGTGGAGTGCAGAGTGCGAAAAGGGCGAGGCTCATCTGCGTTACGTATGTGCATGGGCTGCTTTGACGAAAAATAAGCGCCCAAACAGGGGTTTTGTCTTTTGTTCGTCGTCCTAGCCATGCTAGTACTCGAAGTGCTCACCATATGGCTCTGCAGTAGAGCGCTCGCTCTACATAGGCTGGCGTGATGGTTGAGCAGAAGCTTTCCACGTCTATTTTATATGCAGAGGATATTGTCTTAATGGCGGACAGGCAAAACGATATACAGTGGCTGGCAGATATATGCGAATGGGAATTGGTCAGGCTCCAGGACTAGGATTTAGCGCTACAAAATGTGGATTGATGGTATTCATTGGTCACGAAGATCATGCCGTCTCAATACAGAAACAAGAAATATCGAGGGTAAGCGAGTACAAGTACCTCGGAGTATGGGTAAATGAGGGAGACAGATATATAGAGTTATAGCAAAAAAAAAAAAACATTGGCAGCAAAGAGAAAGAGGAATGCTGCAATAATGAAGCACCGAGTGTTACTGCAATACGATAGGTACGAAGTGCTTCGAGGTCTGTGGAAAGGCGTAATGGTTTTGTGGCTTTCATATGGGAACTTGGTGGTGTGCATGAAGTCAAAGGTCCAATCAGGAATGGAGGCTAATCAAAGTACTGTGTGACGCCTTGCATGGGGCGCTCACGGGAATACGGCGAATGAGGCTGTAAAAGTGGATATGGAATGGACAGGCTAAGGTAAGCTCAGAGCAAAATGAGATTTGAAGAAAGGCTTAGAAAAACGGAGAGTAGATAGGCCGGGAAAGTGTTCAGGTATTTGCATAGGAAGAGTGTGTACACAAAGTGGAGAAAAGGAACTAGGAGGCTACCAGTAAATATACGGCTGGAAGTGTAGGCGACACAGCAATCAAAAGCATGAAGCGAAAATTCAAAGAGGCGGAGAGGATTTATTGGATGACAGCGATGGAAAAAAGCCGGCTTTCAGTAACTACCGAAAGGGCGTTACTGTTCGAAGTGAGGTCGGGTTGCCTTAAAAGGGGTAGTCATAAAGCTAGATTCTCTAAAAAAAAAGAACATTGTACATGCTGTGAGGGAGTTAAGGAACCAATGAAACATGTTCTGATTGAATGCGGCAATATTCACCCAGGTATACGTGTGGGTACAAGCCTGCATGAGGTTTTGGGTTTCAGGGACAATCATGGAAAGCTGAACAAATCTGTGATAGAAGCAAGAAAGAAACTGTTAGAGTATTGGTGGCAGACAAATTAAGGACAGAAATAGTTGGAAAATGAGGTCATTCTGCCTGAATGGGCAGAGGGATGGATCCTGAATTTATATTTCTTTGTTACGATAAGATCAATTTAATCGAAGTGGATGAGGCAGAAAAAAGTTCTCCTTTTTTTTTCTTGCGAGCCTGGTGGCACGCATTTAACCCCCCTGTTATAAAGCGGGCACTCTTAACATTCATCCATTCATCGCTCCACTTCGGCGCGTGCTCGGGTATGAATGAAGACCGCTAGCGGCGCTCGACTCTAGACAGACAGCGCCATCTGTGGCAGAAAAATGAAAATTGAGGATGTACGTCGCGCGTTTTCTTTTCTCTCCGCCGCTCGCTTCCGTGCCTGCAGGGCTCTCGCACTGCACTCGCAGCTCCACGCAATGCATAGCTTGAAAAAAATCGCCCACCTGCTTACGCACTTCGAAAAGCGAACGCAATAAAAGCATAAAAGTCTGTAAATAACGTTTACGTTGTGGAGCAGATGACGTCCACGCCCGACTTAACGCGATATGCATTTCCGCAGTCCGCGACATTGCAATTTGTGTACCATAGGTGTAGGTACGCTTCTTTAATCATAGGTTAAATATAACTAATCGTCGATATGCTGTTCGAAAAGAAGCCACACACGTGATGAGTGTTCTACGTTGTCAGCGACAAAAAAAAAATAAAAAATAAAATACGACGATTGTTTCGATCATGCATGCTCAAATGCGTACTGTCATGAGCGATCTTTCGCAATGTGCAAAAAAGAAATGAAGATAACACGGCACTAATAACGTTATTCGAAGGTCGCAGGTTCGATTCCTGCTCACGGCAAGTTATCTTTTCACCCACTTTTCTTTCTTAACATTTACATTACAATTGGGTCTGATAACTTCCCCTATACATTCTTTGGCATTATTGTCTGTTAGATCTCATTAATATTGTGTCAAAGCACGGAAAAATGAGCCCTCAAGTATGCACTTTTCCCTTACTGATTAGCGAGAGTCTCGTACTGGCAGACTTGGTGCCGTTGTGTCGTATACGAGGGACTATTGGTCAGCTGCCAGCTCGTAATTAGTTCACGCGTTACGTGACACCAAACAGGCTCATAAAAAGTGCCACACTCGCTGTCATGCCTACAGGTGGCGCTGACTGACACTCACGTTTAAATTCACGTATAAACACTATAAAGTGGCTGGGGGGATAGCCGCCGTGGTAGCTCAGTGGTAGAGCATCGAACGGGTCATTCAAAGGTCGCAGGTTCGGTTCCTGCTCATGGCAAGTTATCTTTTCACCCACTTTTTTTTTCTTAACATTTACATTACATTACAATTGGGTCTAATAACTTCCCCTAACATTATTTGGCATTATTGTCTGTTAGATCTCATTTTATATATATATATATATATATATATATATATATATATATATATATATATATATATATATATATCGGCTCATACGCTATGTTTATTTCATTCCACTTCTTCATCTACTTTTACTAACATGGCTTCATATGTCACATGATTCCCCCTCCCCCCAAAAGAAGGCATGGATTACGAACAAAAAAGCGTAAACAAGGAAAGGTTGAAAAGTCACAAATTTCAAAGTTCACAATTGATTCCATGGTCCAGTGGACTTCGGTAAACTCTCAAGGAC